TGTTTATTTCATCGATGAGTCAAATGTGATTTCACTGAAATCATTTCATGCATCGCTGACTCTAGCGTTGGCAGTGCTACTCTTATCGCTAATCCCATCAAAGTTTCATTTTTTTTATTTGAGTCTCCTTTATATTATTTCTTGATTTATTATTTATAACTAAAATTAAATTACTGTACCTTTGTTAAATCTATACACAATTAATAACAATACTCATCACCTGATTATAAAGTTATTTAACTATTTTAATTATAAATAATAATGATGTAACTTATAATTGTTAGTTACGAACATTAATGTATTTTATATACAGTAATTAAATATTAACATAAACAAAATTATAACAAAAAAATAATTCAAACTTTTTGCAGTCTCCAACTCGGCGTTTGGACAATAGTCTCGACTTATTCCGAAAGGGGACACACATATGGGCGCCCGTATGGTATGGCCCAACACTTGTACAGTGAGGTCCCGATGGGACACATCTACCATATATCGGGGTCGGATACGGAGCCGACTGAACGCCTCCCGATTGACCCCCAAAGTGACGTCATTCATAACACCGCGGTTTAGGTTATCTCTAAGCGGTTGATCCAACTTTTGTGTGGCCATAAACTCGATGTCTTTTAATAATACAGACATTATTAACTTGGTTATAATTACAAATTGTTAATTGATCAAGCTTATAAATGTCATAGTTATTAAATTGAGATACTATTTTGTGTTGATTTAATTCTTACATTATAACCGCAACTATTTATTATCATTTTATAACTAATCATATTAGTGCAAGATAAATTTTACATCTTGATAAATGCATTATGTCACAAGGTTAATATTGCATAACAAACAAGGATGTGGTAGTCTTTGTCTAGTTAACTTTTTTATATTTCATCATTAATATTTTATTAAATTATAACTGTTTTGTTTTAAGTTATTTTTAATTTATAAGATTAATGTTTATAAAATGTACTGAATATATATTTTTTCTGTAAACTAATTTAAGCTTGTTTATCATAATTTATGATTCATAAACACATGTAAACACTGACAGCTATAGCGTTGCCAAACGTACAGGAACTTCCTGTATTATACAGGAATTTTCACTCAATACAGGAAGAAATTTTCATGTTTATCAAAGAATACAGGAATAAATATTTAAAAAATAAGCTGTAATACAGGAAAATACAGGAATTTTTGGCAATTTTCTTACATTTATACAGGATTTTCAAAATATGATTTGGCAACGCTAGACAGCTATGATACTGTCGGACAATCATTGATTATAGTAATCTTAACATGCACAAATATCCATGTACCAATCAGTCAAATTGTAGATTAATCAAACAGAACATTTAAAACTTATTTATAAATATACATGTACTAAACTCTATAAAATGCACTAAGGCATTGTTCACAAAGTACGTACGCACTTTTTAAGAAATCTAGACCTCCTCCCACCCCCTATGTTCGCAATTGTTCGCATGTTTTCATTTAAACAAAATACGTACGCATTTCGTGTTAACCCCCCTCCCCTAAGAAATAAAATACGATATGAATAATTTAATTAAAATTAAACCAATTGTTTAAATCATGTTGTATAAACATAGAATCGACAATAATTATAAAAAATAGTGCTTGAAGCGGTGGTGTTGGTGTGATTAACTTTGATAACAGATTAATCCGTTAAATTATTTTATTGCGAACGTACATAAGGTCTCTATACCCCCCTCCCCCTCGTTTGCAAAAGTTCG